CAGGAATAAAGTACCCTAACTCGGCCGCTATCTTGAATGATTGCTTTTTAAATAGTTTTAACATATACACCTTAGTGAGAAACATTTCGTCCATACATTGTACAGAGCCAAGGTAACTCCTTCTAGTTGTTCCTAAGTACTGTTTACAATGGAAATCGATCGATGTATGGTGTTGCCAGCACATTTTGACAAAAACCGCCTAAGACCCCTTGGGGATTATTTTTGACAGATCGTCATCATTGTTTGGTCTAAAATGATGAAACAAAAAATCCCACGTTTTTTACTTCTCTCCGATATTACCCTAAAATCGGGGAAAATTTTTAGACCAGGTAGTGCTTCGTACCGAGAGTTTCCACTGCTCCATAAAAGTCAACTCGCTGCAGTGACGATGGGTACATGAAAACTGAATTAAATAAAGGACCCTAACTCGGCCGCCATGGATTTTTACTTCTTAATACTTTTGACGTATTCACCCTAATAACAGAAACATTTCGTCCATACATTATGTAGAGTCTCGATGACTTCTTCTTGTACTATTCCCTAAGAAAACTGATCTAAGATGTTGCCAAATAATTCTGACAAAAACCACGAAAAACCAATAAGGGGATGATTTTTGACAGATATCCATCATTATTTTGTTTGAAATATCGAAAAAAAAATCCCACATTTTGGACTTGTCTTGTAAATTACCCAAAATCGGGGAAAATTTTCATACCATTTTTCCTTTTTCGTACATATATTGTACAGAGACACGGTCCTTCTAGTGGGTCCTTAGTAAATATTACTTTTTACGAAAATCGATCCATGGTGTTGCCACCTAATTTTACAAAAAATCGCATATAACTATTAAGATGATATTTATTATAGATCTCCGTTGCTCTTATATATAGTTTGTCGAAAAAAAAATCCCACATTTTGGGTTTGCAAAATTACCCAAAAAACGGGGAACATTTGTAACCTAGGTAATATTTCGAACCGAAATCTACCACTGCTCAATAAAGGTCGACTCGCTGCAGGGAAGCCAGGTAAATTTATCATCAGAGAAAAAATACTCAAACTCGGCCGCCACCTTGGATTTTTCCTTTTTTAAATACTTTTAACTTATCCACTTTGGTGACAGAAACATTTTGTCCATACATTGTACAGATGTAAGGTGACTCCTTCTAGTACTTCCTTAGTACTGTTTACTATGAAAATTAGTTAATACTTCGCACCGAGAGTTTCCATTCCTCAATAGAAGTCAGTTCGCTGCAGGGTTGATAGGTGCCACAAAACTGAATTTACTAAAAAGACCTTAAAATTGTCATAATAAATAAAGTATCCTAATTCGGCCGCCATCTTGGATTTTTCCTTTTTAAATACTTTTAACACATACATTTTGGTGACAGAAACACTTCATACATACATTGTACAGAGCCCAGGTTACACCTCTAGTTCCTTAGTACGGTTTACTATGAAAATCGATGTATGGTGCTGCCAGATGATTTTGACAAAAACCACCTAGGATCCTTTGGGGGATGATTTTGAACCAATGCTCATCACTGTTTTGTTCAAATTAACGAAAAAAAAAAAAAAATTCCCACGTTTTTTTACTTTTCTCTGAAATTACCCCAAAATCGGGGAAAATTTTTAGACCAGGTAAAATTTTCCACCGAGAGTTTCCATTGCTCTATAGAAGTCAACTCGCTGCAGGGTTTAATTTATATTACCCCAAAATTGAATTTTAAAAAGTCCCTAAAATTGTCAACATAAATTAAGTACCCTAACTCGGCCGCCATCTTAGATTTTTACTTTTTAATACTTTTGACGTATTCACCTTAGTGACAGAAACATTTCGTTCATACATTGTATAGAGCCTCGGTGACTCCTTCTAGTACTATTCTCTAAGAATACTGATGTAAGGTGTTGCCAGATAATTCTGATAAAAACCACCTAAAATCAATAGGGGGATTGTTTTTGACAGATTTTCATCATTCTTTTGTTTGAAATATCGAAAAAAATTTTTCCCACTTTTTAGGACCTATCTCAACAATTACCCTAAAATCGGGGAAAATTTTTATACCAGGTAATACTTTGTATTGAGACACATCATCTCTCCATAGAAGTCGACTGGCTGTGGGGTTGCCAAGTGTCCTAAAACTACATTTACAAATATCCCAATTTTTCTCCGAAAAGCAAAACTCCCCTATCTCTGCCGCCATCTTGGATTTCTAAAATTTCATAATTTTCCCTAGAGGCCGGGTCCTTCGGCTATCCGACGCCGTACAGTGCGTTGAGCTAGCATACTCGTAGGTACCCTATCAATTTCAGTTTTTGAAGCTAGACCTCAATTTCAAAATTTGTATCATGATGTATGGGTGTTGCCAGCAAATTCTGACAAAATTCCCCTAAAACCCTTCAGGGGACGATTTTTGGTAGACCAACAAGACTTTTTCATTTAAAATGTCGAAAAAATATTTCCCACTTTATGGGACTTTTCTCCAAATTTAACCCAAAATCGGGGAAAATTTTTAGCCCTGGCAAATCTTCTTACTGAGACTTACCCATGTCAGTAGGTGGCGTTTAGCTACGGGGTTGCCATGTGCAGCAAAAACGCGATTGAAAATATCTCAAAATTTTTCGAAAAACTAAATCTCCCATAGCTTGGCCGCCATCTTGGATTTCTGAAATTTCATAATTTTCCCTAGAGGCCGGGTCTTTCCGCCTCCCAATGCCCTACAATAGGGATCGGTAGTATCCCCGCAAGTACCCTAGGAATTTCAGTTTTTGGAGAGACACCCCAATTTCTATTTTGGTCAAACCATGTATGGGTGTTGCCAGAAAATTCCAACAAAACCCACCTAAAACCCTTTAGGGGATGTTTCTCGATAGGCCTTGATGCTTCTTTTGTCAAAAATGCCGAAAAAATTTTTTCCCACTTTTTGGGACATTTCTCCCAAATTACCCCAAATTCGGAAATTCTTTTTATCGCTGGCAATACTTCTTACCGAGACCCATCATCGCCCCATAGAAGCCGACTCGCTGCGGGGTTGCCCTATATCTAAAAAATGATTTTGAAAATAATCCGGATTTTTAGGACCAAATTCACACGCCCCCAACTCGTCGGCCATCTTGGATTTTCGAAATTTCATAATTTTCCCTAGAGGTCGGGTCCTTCGAGTTTCCTATGCCCTACAACCGGTGTCGCCAGCACCCCCGCAACTATCCTGGGAATTTCGGTTTTTGAAATCCTAGAAAATTTTCAACCAGTTTTTGGCAATTTTTTCACCGCCATCTTGGATTTTAATTTTTTGTTTTTACGCCATATTCTGGGTCCCGCCGAGATGTGCCAAATCACTCTTTGAACGGAATCGATCCGAGCGAAACTGTAAAAGTTAGCCGCCATCTTTGTCCGCCATCTTGGATTTTCCCAAATTTCGGAATTTTCTCGTGGTCACCCTAGCCAAAGGAACATTTCCCCCATACATCGTCTCGACCCCCGGACGCTCCTTCTGGGAGAACAACTATGTCAATCAGTGAGTGAGTCACCGTAATGCAGCTTTATATATTATAGATTACATACAATCAACAATTGTAATAGTATTTTTATGACATTATGTTATTAATTATTATACTCTTGTGATATCTTTTTATAAATTAATATAAATATTTTATACGTATTTAAGCATTGTTAGTAATTTTTATTTCATATCTATATTCTTTAATTTTATGTATTATGCATTTATAGTCTTATAAATTTCTCAACTAAGGCATTTGGAAAGTGTTAAGACATTTGATCCAAAGACAAAATTTGTAAATAAATTTATGGTTAATAAAAATTATTGTAGAATTACCGCCTTTCCAGTGCAATTTTTGTAATTCCAAAATCAAAAAGAAAATTTGTTTTAAGAAAAAAATATAAATTAAAAAAAGGCTGTTTTCAATACACAAGGTTTGTTTTCTATACTACGTAACCTATTTGTTTCTATTATTAACGGCCTCGGTTTCGGTAGCACGCCGCTATACTTTCTACGGTTGCGGGTTCGATTCCATGCACGGTACAAACATTTATATCCATGAATCTGATTGTTTGTATCGTTCTGGACATATAAAAAGGGGTATCTAAACCTATCAATAGGTATCAAATGTAATACACGTAAGAGTATAAAATTTTGCTATTTTGATCAATTTGCCGTATCCGTTCTATTGTTTTATAACAACGTTATGTAATTGTATGTTTTATTTACTGCCAACATTGTTTTCCAATAATTAACATTACCAGAAATGACTGAAATAAATATAAAATTGAAATCAAGCAGGTGTTTTACTTCCCCTTAAATTTGGCATGCGGGGCGTGAAGGAGCGAGGGGGACATCAACGGTTTTGATATTCTATCCCGTTTACACTCACACGTCAAGTTGATCTTCTATCGCGCGCGCGCACGCTCCGCTTCTCTTCAATTGTCGTTTTGTTCACCATACAGCGAGCGCTCGCCAATTCAGTGTTGCCATCTTAGTGGTTTTACCAATAAAACTGGTGAACTGTACTCCTTGTATGGCAAAACTTATTTTTGGGTAGTTTATTTTTAACTGTTTTCGAAAATAAAGAGATACGATTACATAAATTAGAAATATTTCATTTACTATTTTATTCATCCGTGGGATTTTGTTATTATTAAACTTCGGTTTTTTTGTAATGATTATGATGAATGAATATTTATATTATAATTAAACTAAATACTGATTGATATATTTTAGTTTTGTTTATTTTCAATTAGTTGTACATACTTATATCAGTATTTGGTCTAAATCTTTAGAATGATAATAAATGTCGCTTAGAACGACCAACAGTAAAACAATCCGATTTGAATGGATTAATACATCTTCAAAGTAGTTTTAGGTTAATTTTAAACTTTCGTGTTTAATATACATTATTTAAATTATTAACCGGAGGTGGGCTTTTTACGCTATGTTGGCAACACTACTCCAGTCGGCTTGCGTTTGTCTCGTTCGTAATTTTGTATTCGCGCAACCACACCGTCGTACAGAGCACGTCTCGTCTCTTACCAAAAACTGTCGATATTCGAAAAGTTTCCTAACTTTTTTTGAGTGCGGACCATTGATGTTTGAGTGAACTTTTCTCAGCCGTTATCGATAAAAGTGATGTGCCAGTGATAGTCGTGTTGAGTGTTAGTGAAGTGCATCGGTGATTTTTTTGCAATCATAATTTACCGTTTCAATTGAACGTTACTGTTTTGTTCAATAAAAAACCGAGAATCTCTCGCGGTGGAGCGAGGGCCGTGTGTTTGTCTCTTGTGGTGTGGTGAAAGTAGACCTTTGTGAAGTTCATAAGGACAGCCGCTTGCAACTGGCACGAGACGACTCGTTTCGCTGCACTTAGCGAGAGGAAGGTGAGTGTGGTATTTTATTTCAATTGCCACGGTATTCCACTAATACCACAAAAAATACACTTTATCACATAACTATTAATAGGTAGACATTTCTTATAAAATATTTTTATTTCTGATCCAATATTTACACTTTACATAGTTACCTGGTACCGAAACTAAGTAAAGTGTGGTATTTTATTTCAATTGCCACTCTGGGGTATTCCATAAATACCACAAAAGATATATTTAATTATATGACTCTTAATAGGTAGACATTTCTTATAATAATACATAATAATTTTATTTCTCATCCAATATTTACATTTTACATTGTTACCCGGTGACTAAAGTCAGTAGAAACCTATGTTTTAGGTATCAGTTCCCTCCTCTTACAATTTACAATTATTGGAATTACAATTGACAGTGATTTATGCATTGTTTTACATTTTTGCCGATTATTGTTTTTTTCGCACCGATTTTGATGAACAAACCTTTTACAATGAACAAACTTTAATTTGTTGTGATCGTAATATTATACGGTTTTTAATCGGTATGTAAGTTGTGAAGCAAAATATACCTATACCTATTTTAATAATAAATGTCATAATAACGAGTTTACTACAATCGGCTTTATAAATAAGTAGGTTGGTTTTTCTTATGGATGATAATGGAATGGTGCACCTATCTGCGCTAACGGTTTACGCTGGCGGGGCACCAGTACAGATTGATAAGAACATGAGGTGAGGTCAGTTAGCCCATCGTGACTAATTTACCAGGAATTTATCAACATGGTTTCTAGGGGAAACCGCGTGGAGGTTAACCAGAAATCAGTCCACATTACAATCCTCTTTCCTCCAGTAGGTAGGTTTATTACTAGAATATTCTCGCATATATAGGCAAAGAATCTAAAACTTGTCTGAGAAGCCTTGTATATGTCATATATATATATATATTATACATCCTATATGGTTTTAGTCCACTCATAAATACACGAATTGTCTACTTTGGAAAGTTTACACTTTATCCTAAGAATATCCTTCAATTCTTATCCCTGACGGATCAAGGTAGCGGACTCTGAAAAAAGTCGCGCACAATAGATCTATGTAGATCGCAGTGCTACAGGTCTAAGTACCTTACAATAGCCTAAAACCCTCAATAAAAAAAATGGTACGCATAAATAATAATAATAATAATACCCCCAGGACAATTTACAGACCACCATTTAGTCCCAAGCTAAGCAGAGCTCGTGTTATGGGTACTATAGACAACTGATATTAATACTTATATACATTTTTGTAAATACATATATAATATACATAGAAAACATACAGACCGATACAAATAATCATGAATAGAAATGTTTGCACTGTGCGAAGAATCGAACCCACGACCATCAGAAGTAAGGGTGTGCTAAACCGCTATACCACCGAGGCCGTCAAATATGCGTTATTTTATAGTTATTTGTAGGGTTCTGAGTTCTGACCTCGAAACTATTATCATCAAGTATGTGTACGTCTGTATATAAACATTGCACTCGCAGTTTATTTACATTTTATAAGCTATTAAGATAACCATATACCACTACACCTAAATAACACTTTAAAGCTGTGATTTTAAAGTCGATTTCCCGTTTAATATTAAGTGTATCAAGTGCAATGTTTTATTGTGACACCTATTATTAAATAAGACTTTAAGATAACGTAATAAACCGAGGCATTTTAATCCAACTTACAGTTATTTAGTTTGTTTTTTAAGTCTCTGAGAACTACAACACAAAAATACAATATTATAGTTTGCGTAAATATAGTAATTTTTACTGTATCAAGCTACAATTAACTATTTTGATTTACAAAAATCAACTATCTTATTTATTTATTAGTCGACCCCGCGAAATTCGGTACGCCTCAAAATTAAACATATCAAAGATTTTTTACGCCTCAAAATTAAACATGTCAAAGATTTTTTGAAGTTTAGTTAAGTAAATTTCTGAACGCACCCTATTTGACAGGTATCAGCAGTTTGTATGGGAAAATAAAATTGTTGTTTTTACTATTTTACATGTAATTTCTTCATATTTTATCACCGTTATTTATTTGTTAAGATTTAAGCATACATAGAGACAGACAGACAGCGACAGCGACTTTGTTTTATACTATGTAATGATAATCATTATAACATATTTGATTTACTTAAATGATAAAGAACGATATTACTCACTAAACGATTACTTGAACGACGAGCGTGCATCGCAATAGTTTTCATGTTCGGGATTTTCATTTAATGTTAGACATAGACACCTATATAAATACCTATGCGTTGTAAATAAACTGGCTTTAAAAAAAAAGTAATTCAATTGAGTTTCTTGCCAGTTCTTCTCAATTGGATCTATATACCGAACTGGACGGTAGGGAAAAAAATTATAATGTAAAAACTTGACGTTCATAAGCGGGTAAAATGTCCTACAGGAATAAATGATTTTTGAATTGAATTGAATTTGAATTTGCATTGAATTGATAAACGTGCATTACAATAGTTGTTCATGCACGGGATTTTCATTTAATGTTAGACATATACTCCTACATAAGTAAAGAATATAAATAAACTGACTTTAGAAAAATGAAATTCAGTTGAGTTTCCTGCCAGTTCTTCTCAATTGAATCTGTTTATGAACTCGACGGTAAGGAAAAAAATATTAATTACAAAAAACTGGTGTTCATAAGCAGCTAAAATGTCCAACATGAATAAATTACTGTTGCATTTGACTTTGAGTTTAAATTTTTTCTTTCAAACGGCTGCAATCCTTACTCCTTACTAACAATAGAAATGCGAAAGTAACTCTGTATGTCTGTCTCGCTTTCACACCGAAACCACTGAACCGATTTAAATGAAATTTGGTACACAGATAGACTAGACCCTGACTAAGGACATAGGCTACTTTTTAATGCGAAAAAAAGGTTGCAAGGAGTTGAAAGGTTATATGGAAGTATCGTCATTTTACGCGGACGTAGTCGCGGGCGCAGCTAGTCTTTTATATATATAAGTGTATGTTATATATGAAAGTAATTTGTTTTATAATAACAGCATTTCGTCTATTTCCAATGTCAGTAAAAAAAATCTATTTAACAACCCTATACTTTATTGATTTGGTGATAATGCATGTTAAATTACATATTTTACGCATATATTTTAGTGGCACAGATATAAATCGATAATTGATATTCATTTCCGATTGTGCCACAACACTATTTAAGAATCGCAAAAATCTGACAACATCAACTTCAAATTTGTCTCTGAGGTAAAAAAAAATAGACTAGTCTCAATTTACGCAGTCTAGATAGACTTTTTATGACGTCACCTGGATGGGTCTCAATTTCAGCCACCATGCAGTTTGATTTGTAAGCTGCTTTGTTTGTATGATGACATGTGGTAGTCAAATCATAGAGTACGCAAGAATGCTATCTTAGTTTTTCGAAATATCAAATTTTGAAACAGTTTTTTGGCTCTGAGGTAATGTTGGGTTTTTCAAGTTACAATTGCTCTTTCTTCCATGGATATGCATTGAAATATAAATCTTTATTACAATAAACTTAATATAAAAGCACTTTACAATAGTTTTTTTTTATTCTACCACTCGTTCGGAAATTAATCATGCGTTCTATTTTATTTCAAATTCATTCCCATTCGATATTTAAATTTAACGAACATCAACTACTCGTTTAAACAATTAATATTATATCCACAAATCAGCTGAACGTTTCTGAACGTCATTCATAATGCTCCGCGACTGTAGGTCAGTGCCCTACACCCTACCTGTTGACTCGCCGTTCCCCGTCGAGCCGGTTCTCCTACACTGCCAACGGATTCGAAAAAAGAATAACAGGCTTCGGTACTTGATTAATTATTTTTTTATTACGTGCCAGTATTTGTTCCATTCTATATTTATTACATTATCTCTGTTACAGTAATTAAACTGTACCAATAACGAAACGCATCAATAGAAATAGAAATAATCTTCATTCTAATAATCTGAATACAAGGATTTTTGAATAGTCATATTTTTTATTCGGAGCGCAGACTCATCACAAGAAGAATGAGCAAGAAACATGCGTATTGCCCATTAGAATATGATATTTTGAATAACAAGTAAGAGGCATGCGATAATCAACATAGAAACCGCTACGCACTCATTCTTAGTGCAATCAGATAACATTATCAGCGCTATGAATTTTAAGTTTTTCTACAAAAACATTATTATCGTTAACGAACTTTTAAATTTTATAAAATGCATTTTTAAAAAGGAAGTGTTTTACATTACATTTAAATCTTTTTTCAGTTTTAAAACAGACTGGTAGTTTTTTTAGGTTTACGTTAGTCATCACGTTTAGTTATTGTGAATTGATGTGAAATGGCAGTGTTCTATGCACCATACAATACTGTAACAAAACGTTATGATGCATTAAAAATAAATCAGTCCATAATCAACGTCTTTCTATTAGAAATGCCGTATATTTTACTAGGTAATGTGGCCTGAAGACTCCATTGCTAACAATGTACCATATCAGGTTGACCTCCACGCGGTAACCTTGGAAACCATCATGACAAATTTCTGGTGAATTTGCCATGATGGACTAATCGACCTGACCTCATGTTCGTCTTATCATCTCCACTGGTGCCCCGCCAGCATAAACCGTTAGCGCAGGCGGGTGCAACATTCCATTATCATCAATAAAAAAAAATACGTTACCACTTAATCACTCTGTGGTGAGTACCACACAATCTACGCTAATCTGCACTAATATTATACAGAGAGAGCGATTTTTTTATGTTTGTGTGTATGTTATTATGGACGTTAATCTCCGTAATCATTTCATAGTAACCAGTAATGTCGGACCTAATTGAAAAATTGAGAATTTAGCGTCTTTATTGTTACCGCTATTATTTATGTTTGTGTTCGTCTGGAACGGGCAGCGACAGGTGGAGTAAAATGAAATAACGAGTCCAGTGGTGATTATGTACAAATG